GCTTTTTCGTGAAGGCCTTGGTCCAGCAGCTCCGTGACAAACACCAAAGCAAGGACGGTACTGTCAGCACTCTGAAGTAAGGCAAGTGCCCTTCTGAATTGGCAAAACACTAAAAAACGTGGAAGCAGCTCAGACAGGAGAGCTGATGAAATTCTTTATATTACATTCAGCTCTTTCTTTTTTCAATCTTCAGGTTTTAAACGCACAAAAACCTCACAGGAATACTCCTCATTTTCTGTATCTGTTCTTTCTGAGGGTGCCTGTTTTTTGTTTTTTTTTTTTTTTTTTTTATAAAAAAAAAGAAAACAATCTAATATATTCTTAACATGAACCATTTAATGCCTGTTGCACAAATGTGTAATAAAATTCAGCCCTGTGGCTCTTCTACTGTCAAGCTAAATAGAATCCATTTGAAACAAACGTGCAGCTTTAAAATTTCTTCATCTGAATGTTCCTGTCTTTGAAGGGAGCAATTCTGCTCTCCTGTCCCCCACAGATCAACAGGGATTTAGGAGAAGCAGTAGGAGGGAATATTTTGGTATTAGTTTTGTTTTGCCAGCCCAGGGTCTTGCAGAGCTGTACCCTACTGAAGAAAAATGAATCCTTCCTCAGAGGCATTGATTTTATCAGATACTAAAAGTATACACAAATAGAAGAAAAGCAGCCCCAAACATTTTTCCAAAGGAAACAAAAAGGACTTGAGGTATGGCATGTGGGACAAATACTACCAAGAGATGTCTTCACTTAGCCTGGATCTCACGTCACTCAAGGCCAGTTTATTACCACATACAGAAGGGAAGGAAGTATTAGTGGCAGCAGCAGAGCCCCTTTTGCTGCCATCTTCTACTAAGTGGTGGCTCTCTAACCCTGTGTCTGCTGACATGGTGGCTCTGCAGGTCAAACACAAGCCAACAGACCCTACATGTGGTGTAGGGTCAGTGGTGAGACGAGGCTGCAGTTGCACCGTGCAAGCAGAGATGGAAGGGAAGCCAACTGCAAGAATGAATTCAGCACAAGGTTTGCATCCTTGCACACTGTGAGAAGAACCAAGACTGCCCTGTATGAGTGACTGGTTTGTGCTGAGGGCTGCCTGCCTGTCCTGTCTATGTTTCAGCATTGTTTTCTTCCAGATTAAGCTCTAGACTAATCCCACAGACCGAGCTCCCCTTAGCAGTTGGAGCATGTCTTCCTATTCAATTATGTGTGAATTATAGTATGTGAAAAAGATTGGGAGATTTACTTCAAAAGCACGCTCCTGATCCAAACTAAAGTGGTAGTGTGGATGTAACCATAACTCAAGAATATCAGGCCCAACACTGCATTGGAATCAATTATTTCTCTTTCAAACACAACAGGGTTGCAATTCTAACTAGCTCCAAAGCTGACTAAGTTTTTAATATTAATGTAGGGTTAAGAAAGGAGTCAACAAATTATTGTATTATTGTACATAATTTTTCAAACTGTGTTCCTGACACGTGAGCTAGGTTTTAGTCTTTGAAGAGAGCTGTAAATTTTAAGTTTTCCTTTGCAGTCACCCTATAAGGAAATCAGTGGCAGTTAGAGATTGCTTTCTGGGGATTTTTGCCTACCCTCTCTAAACTGGAAAGCAATTTTTAGGCTGGGGAAGCTTCCCAAGAGGGTGTCATGAGCTTCTGGGCTTGCATTTCTAGGAATCAGAATTACCCAAACACTTGCTTTGTGATCATCTCTGTTCCAGCACTGGCATCTATATCTAAATATAGAAAGATACATTTAATATACTGATTCACTGCTGTATCTGCTGCAGAGAAGCTGATCTGCAAACCTCAGGTTTCTTTAAGATGCAGTGGCTGTGCTACACAATGTCCAGAAGAGACACCTTGGCATTGTGAATAGTCAGGTGTCTTTTGACTTTTTAAAAGAAATATATCTAGTTGTAAAAGCACATGCTCCAACTAATACGGGATTTATCAGATTTTGTGACTAAGCAAGTACATTGCCTGTACATGTGCCTTCACAGGTGGAAATAAATAAATGTGACTTTTAACAAAATTTACTAAGCCTTTGTTTTGTTAACTGTGTAGGTAGGGAGTTTTAAACACAAAGAGGTAGAGACAAAAGCATCATTCAAGCAAGAACTTTGTGTCTCACTCTTGCACCACTGAACTTGCACACAAAGCTTATATCAAACTGATTTGGGAACTGTTCTGAGTGAAGTTTGACAAAATCACAGCCTGAATATACATTTCTGTAAAATGAATCACAATAGAAAAGCACTGACTTATGTTTCTAATTCATTTTCTAAAACAAATGATAACCACATTTTTAGTGACTAGTAGTTTTTGTCTGCAAGTATGTGTGAGCTGCTTCATTCTTATGGAGCTTAAGACTAAAAGCTGACAGTAGAAAATAAGTCAATAAAAACAACAAAAATGTCCTCAGTGCTGCAAAAAGGGAATGCAAAGATCAATGTTAACTTTCCAGTGATGGGTAAAACCCTACAGGCCTTTTGAATTTTAACCGGGTAGTATTAAAAAATTCTATAAGACCAGCTATCATCAATTATTTAATGCCTTGCATCCTTCTTCATTTTTGTGGCATTCCAGCAGACTGCAGCTACTTCTGAGCTCTTAGCAACACGTTTGGGTGCGCCTCTTTGTGAGGACATACCTTGAAGCCCCTCACACTGGCAGACTCCCACTGCTGCAGGAGGGACTGTTTCTCAGATTAGAGATACAAAGCTAGTGCCATAAATACATGCTGTTAATCCAAGTTACCTCAGGTATGTATTGCAGAGCGCTGGTAAATTACAGGAAGGTCTAAAGCCCTGAGCAAAACCATTCTGTGGAGAAATGTGGCTGTTTCAATGTCAAGTTTTTAATGTCACATATTAAACTGAACCAAAATACCAGGCAGCATCCTTTATCTGTGCTTTGTAGCAACAGGTGCTGGTAAAAATACAGCTGCTGTAAAAGCAGAGAAGAAGTTAAGCTCCATTTAAAGAGCTCACAAGATATGTCCAGCTCGGTACTGTTGGTCTGGTACTGCAGACCAAAACACCAGGCTGATCCACTGTGAAGTCTCAATGATGTCTGACCCCAGCTCTCATCTCCGCAACGACACTCTGCTAAAGCCACATAAGCCCAGAGTCATCCAGCCGACAGGAGACGAGTTATCTTAGAGCACCATCCAGTATCAGAATGAGGTTTTCTCATTCCTCTTAGCTTAAGCATCACTGCACAGTAATTCCTTCAATACCAGGATTTTAAAATGTCTCACTTATTGTGGCCAGGAGGTTGTACTGGCAGCCATTAGTAGAGTTCAGCTGTGACCAATGCACAGATACAAAATCTGTCCCTTGTAATAAGTGCACAATATTGCATTTACATTAACAAAATACTCATACTATATTGAGAGATGGTGAAGTCTAAGAGATCCAGCACAATGCAACTATTCCAAAGATCCTATTTCATCCCCTTCTGGGCCATTTTGGGGTATACAGAAATCTTGAGCAAGACACCTGTCATCCGAGCATTTGAGGGCCATCGCAGAGCACTGTGTTTGTGTCTGTGTTTCCCTTGCCCTTTAAGACAGCCATGTACTATTGGCGCTTAGCACAAAGTGATCCCTTCACAGGTAGGCATCATGAAAGTGTTGGATGGAAGGGTAACAGTAAACGATCCTTCACTCTCAGTGATTGACAAAGTCCTAATGCAGAGTTACAACACACTTCAATGTCTGTCTCTAAAACCCCTTCTACTTCACATTCTACCGTTTTTTTCCTATCCACACATTTTCTCTTTCTGTTGTTTGTAATTGGAATGCATTTAAATAGCCCCTTCACATATTGATTAAGCCAGTACCAGAAGCAGCAAGGATATGATTGATGAATATACCTGTTCATTTAAAAGAGGTCTGAGACAGCAGTGAAATTAGTTGCTGACTTCAGTAATTTCATAACAAAATTATGCTCTTGTAAGTAGCAAAGAGTATTTCTGCTGTGCAGTCAGAAAGTCAACTTTTGATGTTCACAACAAAAAAGAAGAAATCCTGCATGTGAGTTCTTTACAGCAACCTGGAAAGTCCAGTGACCGTCTGGTGGATTTATGCAGGAAACCCACACTGTTAAGGACTGAAAAACCTCTGCTTTTTAGCCCATGATAAATCAGCCCATGTAGACTGTGTGGTGCTGCTATGTACAGACTGAGGAAATTACACTTTTTCCTTTTCAACTACGCACTGCTGCTAGAGAGAATTACGGTGCTATACACACAGTGAAACCTCTTCTGAGCACCCTGATACATTGATCAGACAGAATTTGCCTTTGAAGGACTTTAAAAAAATAAAATAAAATCTCTGGCTTGATTGCTGCTGGGTTTCTAACGGAGGTGCAGCAGAAATGTATTCATAGCTTTAGTAACAGTTTTAGGCAGACAAATGCCTAAAGAAATTCAGATGTTCAAGAAGGACAGAAAGTAGAGATGGTACTTGCAGCCTCTTGAGCACCATCACCTGTGGTGCTGAGGTCCAGGGGAATCCAGAAGCCCTTCCCACAGGCCAGGGCTTGCTCAGCTCCCAGCTGCCCAGAGACTGTGTATGGGTCTCATGAGCTTGTCAACAGGCAGATAGCATTTTAATAAGGAAAGACAACTGGTAGCTCTGCAATAATAAGTCTTTGCAGAATTAGGTAGCAAATAGAAAAGTATAATTGCTGAGTTTCTCAGCAGGTTTTTAGAATATTTCATCTAAGTAGGGTTGGTGGGCCAACATTTGTACAGGTTGTTTCCTTTAAGGGGTTATAAATATATAAATGAATACCATTCTGAAAGGATATTTAGACAAGCTGTTACAGCAGAAACCTGGTGATGGAGGGGGGCCTCACTCTCAGCTCCAAGTACTTCAATTCTAAGTCTGATTAACTTACTATCAGGTGGAAGGCACACACAGGTACAACAGCATAAAGGCAATTGGACGGTGTGTATATCCTCAAAGCAAAAAGTGCACCAAGTGACCTGTCTTACCTGGTCTAATCCACATCACAGCAGCACCGACTGCAAAGCTGCATCCATGTCGCTGGGGCACACCTTCCAGATGCTGCAGTTCCATCACACGGTCACTGGGCAGAGCTGACCAGGAAGTTGTTCCATCAAGAGAAATTTTTTAAGAATCTGAAAGAAAAGACAAGTTGTTTGAATTGCAAATGATTCTTATGCTTTCAGGAAAAAAAAAATATGGAAAAATTCATTTTTTAACTTGGCATCTGTGAAATCAAAGGCAGAGGAGGTATTGCAATTGGATGTCCATCTCAGACCAGATTCTTCAAGGCCCTGTCTGGCAGCTTTGGGTGAGTGTTAAACCGGCAAAGTGCTGCCCTGGTAGCCCTGCTGCTCCTGTGCACCAAGGGTGGATTTACTCACAGGTAGCCAGCACCAGCCTCTGCCACGAGAGGAGACAAGGTGGAACTGGGGCTGGGACACAAAAGAGGAGCTTTGGGTTCTCAATAAGCTACTATACGCTATAGATCTAAAATAAACAGTTATTATAACCTGCATGTTAATTCTTTGTATGTTTTGTTGTTGGTGGTGTTTTTTTTTTTTTTTTTAAAAAAAAATCAGTTAATGCTTGGGGTCCTCCAAATCAGAAGGAAGAGGTCTGGCAGACACCTGGCATAAATACTCAGACAACAATACAACAATGCTAAAACAACCTCCTCCTTCTTTCTTTACCTATCTCTTTATCTTTCAGCATTGCTAACAGATCTGCTGTTTACAGAGCAGTGACAAAGCTTGGTTACAGATGCATCTTTAAAAAATAATGTAGGGAAAGGAAGGAGCAGATATCCTTGAGATCAGATGGTTCCCCAACATGTTTGATCCCTCAGATCAAATGCAATATTTTTCCACCCACTGTGAGTGTGTGTTTGTACTGGCACCAGTCTGCTGGCAGAGCGAGGCAGGTACCCCTGTCCTTAGAATTCCTGATCACAGTCGTGGGAGATTCAGAGTAGAAGGGAACAAACACTGTCCATTAAAAAACAGCCTTGAGTTGTTTTTTTGCCAGTTTTCTTGCTTTAGGCTCGTACTTTGGTGTTCATTCAAACCACTGAAGTCTCTTATCAGGGACAGCACAGCACAGAAGTTGAAATGGAAAAACACAGGCAATCGGAGTTTCCTTAGAAAATATTAGAAGGCAAACTTGGAAATGTCTTAATTTTAAAAACTTTTCTCTTCACAATTATCTCCCCCTAAAAGCAAAGTGATGACAGTGACATGTCAAAAAAAGAAATACAGAAAAAGAAATTAAAAAAGGAAAGGCAAAAGAAAAGAAAAAAGAATAGGAAAAAAATGACTTCCCCAGGGTTTCTAGTCTGCTTTTTATATATATCATCTTCCCAACCACAGCACAGGAAAATGATCATCTCTTAACCACATTAAACTTAACCATCCATTAAAAAGTATTATATTAATACCTGTCTCCTGCAACAAAAGATCTCTAAGACAACCATATCCTTTGCTGTTGCTCCCACCTTCCTTGACAAATTAAAGTTTATATCAAATGAAAACTTGGAATATATGAGGGTTGGTACGACCCTATGAGCAAACTTTGACAACCTGGATTTCCCAATGATGGCAATGTAATGGCAGGACTAAAATTTCCACTGGAGCAGGCTATTTTCTTTCTCCCCATCCGTGTGTGCTCAGCAGCTCGCAGTGAGAAGCAGAGGCCCCGAGGAGTGTGATGTCGTGTCTGGGGACCTCACCCAGGGCTGGGAGTCCCCTTCGCAGTCTGCCCATCGACCTTGAAGCTGTCCTTGCCTGATCTGTGCCTGCAGAGAAGTGAAACCCACTTCCCTCATCATGTGCTGTGTGATTTCTAGATCCAAAGCTGCCCGAAACAGTGCTGCACGGTGAGTGCCCTCCTTCACTTGCTTGTTACCTAGCGCAGCTCGTGTGTGTTATCATACCCCAGCTCACCGTCTGACTAATTTGACAACCTACAAGAGATGGAGAAATCCAAGTCACCCTCATTTTTTAACAAGCCTCAAGGTGTGAAACCATTGGATCAGCCTGCTAAAAGAACCTCATACCTTAAATGCTTATTTTGAACCCATTAGGGTTTTTAGGTAACCAAGAAACTCATATTTTTTCGGAGGCAATTTCTTTTACAGCTGCCTGTAATCTCCCAACTTCCAGACTCAAAATCATTTAAAAACAAATAAGCTTCCCCACAGATAAAATTCAGAATCTCTCGGAGCCTTCATGATAATAAAACTAAAGGGCAACACTAAGTTGAAAAAGGAGATGAGAAACAGAGGAAGCCAGAAAAGTCCCGTGAAGTTCAGAATTTAACCTTAAGGCTAGAAGAAACGAGCAAAGTACATTTTTCATCTCCATCTGCCATTTTGTGGAGTTGGGATGAGAGCAGCAGAGCACAGTATCTATATCTTGTTAGCACTGTTCATATTCTCATGTGCTTTTGTATGTATGTGTTTGGACTCCAGCTGGGCCTTGTGCCATCACATATTATATATTCACAGCTTCAGACTTCACAGCCAAGATTTTCAAAAAGCTTTAGTAGCTTGAGGTGCCTGCAACACTGAAACATCCTAAGGCAAGCAGCTTGGCAGCACTTTCAGGAAAGAAGGCCTTTTTTTTCTCCCTTTCTTTTTCTTTTAAAAAAGGTTGCTTAAACTGGATGCTCACAGACTGGTACCCCATAAACACCCCGTAATCACAAATTTGTGACAAAGCCTAGCAGCAGCACAAGGCCTATTTCCATATACAAGAGATGCTGACAGAGTTGGTAGGCAGTTTTGGTTGGACATTTCAGTCACATCTGATACTAAACTTAGGGTAATTGTAATCCTGCCTCTCTTTACCCGAGTCCTTTGGTGCTTTAATGAAGCACATCTCCATCTGTGGGAGCACCCCGCGTGTCACGGCCTGTCACCTCTCACTGTGCTGGTCGGTAGCACTGAACCCTGAGCGGTTCCTCCACCTCCAGCTGAGGAACCAGAACCCGTTGATGCTGGCAGCACAGCACAGCTTCCACTCCTGCTCCTACAGCAAACAGCCCGTGTAAGCTGGTGTGGAGATGCTACAGGAGACTGGGTGGGCACAGTGTAGCCCCCCTCCTAGCAAGTGGCAGGATCTTTTTCACTGAATACAGGACCATGTTATTTGGTCCATTTCTGCAGAATTTACCACTCTTATCTTTGTTTCCATTTGTGCAGATTCTTAAAGCCCACTTAGAGAACACGAGGCAACTGCATGCCTTGCCCAATGCCAAGCATTAACATAAATAAGTTATTCAATTTTTCCACTGTATTTACAGATTCTTAGACTTGCAAGAGTCTTCTTGAGTATGTGTGATAATTGCAATTATACTCAGTATATGATTTTGTCACTCCTACAAGGTTTCCCTCGACTTGAAAAAGTGACTTGAAAACAATTGAAGCACAAACATCCTTAATCTTACTCTCTTTCTCTAGTTCCATGAAAATACAGCAGTACCCCCTCATCCTTGTTTAGGCTCACAAAACTCCCTACCTCTTCCTTCCCTTAGAACTGGCCCGCCACAGACATCCATCCCTGCCTGGGGCAGCTGAGCTGCGCTGCTCACTGTGCAGCAGTGGGTGCATGGCAATTGCTCGCCACCTTTTACTCTACAACCTCCAAAAGACTCAGCATGCTAAGGAAAAGACTCAAGACATCTTTTCTAGTGACTATACTGTACAACAAACTGCCACTGCCATGAAAAAGGTAACTGCTTTGATGGAGAAACAGAAGGTGCCTTAAACATAAGGGACAGGGAGGGCAGGTTAGAGGAGGACTGGTAGGTGAGAAAATGAAAGCAGCTTGCCCAAGCAGAGGTTACACCTCTCAGCACATTTCGTAAGGCTTGGCATATATGCAAATATCCCCCCAAACTTCCGTGTGTCAGCACAATGTAAGAGACCAGATGATTCTGTAGGGGGGAATTAAAAAAGAGGACCAGCAAAAGAGCTGGTGTACATGCAACTGTTCTGAAAAATTGGAGCAGAAATAGAGAAAGAAAAAGCAGGCAGTGCAATTATTTGTGTGAACTGATTACAGATCTCCTATCTCGGCATTTCAGACAAAGCAGACTGAGAAAGGAAGCTGCACAAAAAAAAGAGCAGGATACTGATGTGGTTGCTGCTGAAGGACTATGCACAGCCTTGATGCCGCAGCAGGACATAACACCTCTCTCACTGCACTCCTGTGAGGAGCTCCAAAGTGCCTCGGGGGCCAACTCCTTCCTTCCTTGCTGAAAGCAGCAGTAATTCAGCCTATAAAAAGTAATAATCCAAGAGAATTTAGAACAATCATGAAGGTAAAGGATTTGGGACCAGTCGAGGAGTAAACATGTTTTTACACGCTCCCAGGCTGCTGTTCCGTGAGCACACGCAGTGACACAAGGTCACGCCAGCCAATTTTTGTGCTCCAGTAACCCAGTGATGGCCCCAGTGTCATGCGTTACAAAGGTGTTACCCCGTAAAGGGCACAAGGGCCTTGCGGCAGCTCAACATTAAAACACTGAAATAAGTGCTGTGTCTTTTCTGTTAGAAGGAAAAGGAAAAAAAACAGTTTGACCTTCAGCTCAGCAGCCTCTTCTACTGCAATCCTAAGCCTGAAAAATACACTGCTTCTTCTCAAACGAAGGGGCAAGATCCGTATCAAGCAAACTAACAGATCAGATGAATCACCATTTGTACAGAAGAGATTATCAGCATGTGACTGAGGGTACATGATTCCACTTCCAACACCAGAGCAACCGCAAAGCTTCACCAGGAAGATCACATTAGGTTTATCTTAGAGCAGAACCTCAAAGCTGCCCTGGAGGCACAATGCAGCCGCAGAGAAATATTTCTTAGCAAGGTCCAGGCAGCTCCTTCTCACTCCAGCTTGTAAGGTTTCACCATTGTCAAGAAAGATTTCCAGAATTAACTTCTATTTTTCCATTTCAAACTGCATGAATGAAAATAAAGAGTAGAATAAAATTATGCTCAGTTCACTGATCCGTACCAGCAGATGTCTGGCACTCACCCTCACCCTGTTTCTGTCCAAAAGAATTCATAGCACGATGCTCTAGGATGTGTCTCAGCCTAATAAACCTGCGTTGTCTGACTGCAAAACATACAGCTTTG